AAAAAAAAAAAAGAAATGGGCTTAGCATAAACACAGGTGTGGAAAGAAGGACGCAATGGGAGAGGGGACTTCAACACAAAAGACCAACTAGAATTACGTGGAATTGTGGGTGATCTCCACGGAAACAACACTCAGGAAGATGAGAGGGAGCAAGGAGAGCCAGGTAATTGCTGGGAGAGTTTTGGGATCAGAGGACTGTCTAGAGATAGGTGTGCAGGTCACTGAGCAAGACAGGAGTGACAAAGCAGGGGACAGATGTGCTGGGAGCCAGGATCTGAATAAAGGTGTGGGGGGTGGAGCTCATCTGATATGATAAAAAACAGTAGGGAGAGGGAGATGAGAGGGAGTTTCAATAGTGGAGAGGATGATCAAATGCTGGAGAGCCCAGGGGCTGAAAGCTAATGAGAAGGCTTTCATTTCCACTCAGTAATCATTTGCTATTTATTGCTCTGACATGAAGCTTTTCAGGTAATATTTCTATTATCAGATTCAAAAGAAGAATTTTCCCAAACTGCACACAAATTCTTCCTCTCATTTAGCATTTTTCTCAAGTAACTTTCATGAAATTTGAAAATCACTAAATAATAATACTAGGTTTAAGTCTATAAAACAACTGCTCCTTTTATTTCTTAAGAAAAGGGCCAAGTGAGGCTAGGCATGATGGCACCACCCTAATCCCAGGGATTCAGGAGGCTGAGGCAGGAGGATTACGGATTAGAGCAAGATCCTTTCTTAAAAAAAAAAAGGGGGGGGCACAAGGGCTGGGGACGTAGCTCCAGGGCAGGGCTCCCTGGGCTCAACCCTCAGAAATGTGCTCTGTTGGTGGCATGCTCTTTTCAGGGTCCTTCTCAGACTTCCCCCACCCCATTTTTTCCACACAGGTATGTTTCCTTCTGAACATCCACTAAAGATGAGAAGAGCTATTGTTGCTATTATTTAACAGAACAGGTACTGGTTAATTTAATCATGCAAAAAACCCCTCTAGAATTAAAAAAAAATCTATAAACAAACTTAATTAATAATTTGACTTTATTAATAATTAATAAAAAAAATTCTTGGTTTTTAGCCAGAAGGTATCAGAGAAAGTTAAACACTCCTCTGACTGGTTTTAAGACAATAAAGACCTTCAAATATCAAGTGATGCAACTCTTGTAAAGCAAGGTTCCCACCACAGCCTTTGAATAATGCTTTAGGCAGTCTTTCACATCTCTTTTGGCAGGTGCTCTGAAATTCTCTTTTGGTTGTGGAAGGAAGACCTAAAGGAAGAGGTTTTTCCCTTGATGAAGTTCAGGCAACTCTGGCTCCTGCAGAGACTGAAGGGAGGGTCCTTTGTTTCTCCTCCTGCTTCTGCTCCTCCTCCCTCCTGCTGCCACCTTTTGGTCATTTCATTGCTCCTCAGTATTTCTCCTCAGTATTTCTCCAGTAGGCAGGGAGGAGAGGTGGCTGGACAATGTGGTTTTCTACCATATCTTGAGCTGAAGTCTAACAGGGGAATGAAACTGATTCAAGGTGGCTGCATAACTTGTGGTTTTTGATCACCGCTGTTCTTTCTACTCCCTAGCAGTGTTAATGTGTCCAAGCAGTATAATGGAAATAATGAGATGCCTATATTATTATTATTATTTCTTTTTTTGGTACCGGGGATTGAACTCAGGAAAACTTGACTACTGAGCCGCATCCCCAGCCCTATTTTATATTTTATTTAGAGGCAGGATCTCACTGAGTTGCTTAGTGCTAAGGCTGGCTTTGAACTCTCGATCCTCCTGTGTCAGCCTCCTGAGCCTGGGATTACAGGCGTGTGCCACTGAGCCCCGCAGATGCTTATAATATTTTAAAAGGTGTTTGAAAGAAAAGTAATGCTTTGCTGTCTTGCTTATTGTTGTCTTAGCATGATCCCTGCCCTATATATACCTTCTCCAGTCACCAGCCATCTGTCACTGTGGACCTCTGGACTATTCTGATGCTGAATGCCCTTAACTTTTCAAGCTTCACCTGATAGAGAACAGGGATTTTTGGGTTACTTCCCCCAATTTCTCCCCCATTTCAGCAGGAAGCAGTCTGGAGATGGTGTTGCTCATTTTTCCATAGAAATGGAATGTAGAGACTGACAGTGGGAAATGTCACAGTGGTTCACTTTATGCTTTGAATGTAGCCCTTGCTGCTCTGCTACTGCAATTTATTTTTAAAATGGACATGTTTCTTACTCTATCCCTACTCCTCCCTAATCTCCCCCCCCCCCAAACTCAGGGGAAACAGGATTACCTTTCTTCCCCAGGTTAGACAGATTTATCTGTCTTTGAGTATATACCTACCTTAGAATTTAAGTAATCTAGACTTTGGGGGTGGTACCAGGAGATCTCAGAAATAATTATCTCCCAAACTAACAAGTGAATTACAACTCCAACAGAGAACACATGGAATGTACCCTTTGAATCACCTTTTTAAACCCCCTGTTCCAGTGGATGGGCAGAATCACAGCCTTTGGGACAGGAGACCCCTGTGGTTCTCTTTTGCTAGCAAAGCAGTAAACTTTCTTTTTTTTTTTCCTCCAAAAAAAAAAAGTGTTTGAGGTCCATTTCATTTGACTTCTACTTTCCATATGGAAATGATGACAAAGTTACTTTGTTTAAATTATATTAAGTTTAAATACAAAACTGATAATAATGTAAGTGGAGTATAGTAATAACATGAATGT